TTTGTAGGATATACATGAAAAATACGGAATTTTAATATGAATATATAAGTGGAAAACATCGGAAAATCTATGAACGACCATTTGAATAGTCCGCATAAAAAACAAAAAGAAAAAAAAATCAGATAACATAGATGGACTCAAATATTTTTTTTCAAAAAATAAAGCTCTTGCTAACTTTCTTCAAAATTTATAGGCATTAAGTCATTTCTTAGGAATTTTATAGGATATAAAAGCCCAAATCCTTTGTTTCAAAGAGCTAAATAGAGAAAAAAAACCATTAAAATTTGAATCCTATAAAATTTATATGTAAATCCATTGTTTAGAGGGGGTCTTAATCGATATATACTAAGGCTGTATTCGGCACCCCTTTTTCCCAACAACTCTCCCTCGTTTTCTACGCGCACGCTTTTCAAATTGCTAAACGGTGTGTTTTTTTGCAAAAAATTTCTATACGAAAGTTACTTTAAAAAAATCAAATTAACCCTTTCTAAAAATAGCTAATACTTAATTAATCACGTGCTAATGGACCGTGCCGTTTTCTATGATTACTGTTCCGGATGGGAGCAAGAATGCCCGAACACAGCCTAATTGCTCTAGTCTAGTGAGATACAGTATATATATAACTAGATAAGCTTGGAACAGATCTTGTTTGCAATTTGGAGCAAGTGAGATATGCAACTATTCACTAACTGAATTGTGGTCCTAGCGAGCTCGGGGGTAAACCACAAAGAAATCAGAAACCACGCGAAGTTCTATCCAGGCAGCAAATGGCGTGCATGTAATGGCGATCTGGCCAGTGGACAGTGGTCCTCTCCAAGATTTCTCTATTATATACTGCACATCGATACAAATATTTCCTTACTCATTGAATTATTTCTGTAACACCGGACTGCGCACGATCACATGAGTGACAATTTTGTAGGCTCCCTCGTAGTGGGATGGCAAGATCGGATCAGTAAGACAGTAATGATTCCAAACATAGCAAGTAAGGCATGGCATTTTCTTGTAGAGAAGTGGTAGTAGGGATTTTATTAGATTTTTTTTTGAAATTATTATTTATTTTATTTGTGACTTACTTTATTATATATATAACTTTAAGCACAACTTTTCGTTTTTTATATTTGCAAAAAAAAATTGAATAAGACGAGTGGTCAAACATTGCAATCAAAAACTTAAAATCCCTTATATTATGGGACGGAAGGAGTAGTTTTTTTAAAAGGTACGAATTACCCTCTTGAACTATAGTAGTCGACCGAATTACCCTAAACTCGTAAACTCGAATACCAGCCATTTACACCCTCGACTATTAATACCGGATGAATAACTCCATGAACACTGTTTTGGACAGTTTTGACTTGAGTTTGCGTACATAGGCGTTAACATGGCAATCCAATCAACAATGAAATTATTAAAAAAAACAATGTCATCTCTCCCATAGCCTAATCCCTCCCCCCTACTCTCCCTCTCCCTCTCCTCCCTCCGACCCGGTGGCCGGCACGCCATCCCAGCCCCTAACCTCCCATTTTAGATAGTTATGCCTTGAGTTTGCGTACATGGGCACCAACATGGCAATCCAATCAGCAATAAAATTATTAAAAAAACAATGTCATCTCTCCCACAGCCTAATCCTTCCCCCCTACTATCCCTCTCCCTCTCCTCCCTCCGCTCGGTGGCCGGCACGCCATCCCAGCCCCTAACCTCCACCTTGCTGCCCCCTCCCCCAACCTCCGCCACACTGCACCGTGCTGCCCCCATCCCCAACCTCTGCCTCGCTGCTCTCTCTTCCCTTCACCCGATGGTCGGTGCCATCCCCGTCCTCAACCTCCGCCTCACCGCGTTGCCCCACCCCGTCCCCCAACATCCGCTGTGCCATCCCTTCCTCCAATCTCTACCGCACCATCCCCACCCCCAATATCTAGTGCGCCGTCCCCATCCCCAACCTCCGCCTCACCGTGTGGCCCTGCCCTTGCCCCCAACCTCTGTCGTGTCGCCCTTGCCCCCAATCTCCACCGTGCCATCCCTGCCCCCAATCTCCAGTGCGCCATTCCTGTCCCCCAACCTCTGCCCCACCCATGTGCCCAATCTTCACCACGCTATCCCCCCCCCCAATCTCCACTACGCCATCCCCACCTCTGATCTCCAGTGTGCCATCCTCGTCCCCAACCTTTGCCTCGTTGTTGCCATCCCAACCACCGTGACCGCGACACGTGAGGGTGTAGCGGATGGTGGCCGTTTCGAGCTCAACCTCCGCATAGCTCTAGCTTCGCTTTGGCCCACCACCTCCGAGAGCCAGCTTCGCGTGCCCAGGCGAGCTTGCGTTGATCCGCCTCCTTTCGAGCAAGGTCCCTCTCTGTCCTACTTCTCTAGCCAAAGGTGCACAGAGAGAGAGAGCCCATTGATTTGCACCTGAAATGGGGAGTGGGGAGGATTGGCTTGAGGAAAGATATACAAGTGGGCCCATTGATTTTTTTTAAAAATAATTTTATTGCTGACTTGATTGCCACGTTACCGGCTATTTATGCAAACTCAAGTCAAAACTACTCAATACAGTGCTCAGGGGGTTATTTGTCCGGTATCAATAGTTAAGGGTGTAAAATGTCTGGTATTCAAGTTTAGGAGGTAATTTGATCGACCGCTATAGTTTAGGAGGATAATTCATATTTTTTTTCTTTTTTTTCCATTACACAAAAGACGTGTATGCACCAGCACAATTATAACTATACATGGTAGTAAATGTTTCCACTAACAAACGTTTAAAAAAAAAGGTGAAGGCCAAACTACATGTCCTTGTTCTAACTAAACTTTATTAATAATACACCGCATGTATTCCAATGACTCTACACACTACCGGTGCTTTCCCCTTGACAAGCTAATTTCTGAAACAATGAGATAAGGGTTTCGGGATCTCGTGAAATTTGGTCATATGATTCAGGAAAAAAAAAGTTGTTTCCCACAAGAAACTTTAACATGAATTTTGATTTTTGAGTTCTACAGTCCAAAAGCTATTCGCATGTAAATTTTCTATAGGAACTTGTTGGAGAATATGTGACACAACCCAGCCTTAGCAAAAGTTGGTACGTGATTCCATTTTAATCACGCCTAAAGTACTTGTACATAAAGTTTGATAATAAGAATAATCACTACCTTGGAACCCTTATATCCTCTTAATGAGATTTTTAAAAATCACACCTACGTCGAAATTATTTGATTAATACCAATATAATGGTTCATTGCAAATTAAACAATCGATTTACCTATTAACTATTAAGGTTTAAATCGATGGACAAGATTCACGCATTTATTCTTAGTCTTTGTCTCTTTGTCATATAAACGTGTATTAAAGAGTGTGTATTTGTGGACATGTGGCCACCATGATATGCACATATATGTGTTTTGTCCGATTGACCAAATAGGTAAAAAACTTTTATGTATGTAGTTTGCATGACCTTGGTCATGTATATATCACACGTTGGTAGTATGGCTATATCTACGAATTAGAGGCCCGGCCGGTGCCTTAAATATTGTAAAAATAAAATTAAAAGTACAGTTCACCGCTGTACGTTGCTCTTTATACTCGATGCCTATTATGGGTGGTGTGCCATGTATCCGCATCAGAAAAGTAGCTAGCGATTAATCTAATGTTCTTCTCTTTAGCTATACCTTGTTATTAGACGAACATATTTCAGGCTTTTAGCATAATCGCCGAAGGAGAAAGGACAGCTTAAAAGAAATTGAGTGAGGAAGTTCTAAAACTTGAACAAATTGGTTTGGTGTGGACCTAAACAAAAATTTTAGAAGCCCTCACTCATTCTGCACACCATACTGTACAGGCTTGTTTGGTAGCAACAGACGCGCGTCGTGGATTACTTGACTAGCGAAGCTAGCAGCATCAGGGACAAGGTTACAATACAAGCGTCAAGGTTAAGCAAACCCGAGAATTTTTTTTAATAAACCTTATGACTAAGCTACTCGACATAATAGAAGATAACATCATAATTCAAAGTATATGTATCAATTTTAAACTTCTAAACTTCTCACATATGACGGTTGATCTCAGAGTAGAGTGGAACTATGGACCGAAACACAGAAGACACGTGCATACGTACAAAGTAAGACGAGAGGAGAGAAGAGCGAGACCTAGCTTGTCACACAGCACGAGCACTACCACCAGTAGTATGCTATTACGCACGGGAGCATGCAACTAGGCCAGCGGAGCAGCGCAGAGACGCTACTCGTGTGTTACTAAAATACCTTAGAGTATATTTATTAATTTTGGACATCTAAACTTGTCACACGGCGGTTGATCTTATAGTAGTGTGGAGCATGGAGTAAAACACATATAAAATGTGTACAAACGTATGAAGTATGTGCGGTAAGACGAGACGAGAGGAGAGCAGATCCTGCAAGTCACACGACACGAGCGTTACCACCAGTAGTACATTGCTACACACGCGAGCAGACGGCTAGGCCAACGCAGAGGAGAGGCGCCACTCGCGTGTCGTTCCCTATAGGAAAACCCTCTTTATCAATTTTGGACCTCTAAACTTTCACATATATCAGTTTATCTTACAGTAGAAATAGACCGTGAAGCGAAACACACAAGATGCATGCATACGTACAGAGTACTCCCCTGTCCCAAGCTATAAGGGATTTTAAGTTTTTCCTACAACGTTTGATCATTCGTCTTATTCAATTTTTTTTAAATTATTATTTATTTTATTTATGACTTATTTTATTATCTATAACTTTAAACACAACTTTTCGTTTTTTATATTTGTAAAAAAAATTTGAATAAGACGAGTGGTCAAAAGTTACCAGAAAAATTTAAAATTTCTTATACTGTGGGAACGGAGGGAGTACATGTGGTGAGACGAGACGAGAGAAGAGCCGAGTCCTAGCAGCCATCACACGAGACGAGCTTTACCACGAGTAGTATGCTACTACTACTACGCACGCGAGCACGCACGCAGCCAGCCAGGCAGGCCAGCCGAGCACCGCAGAGAGCAGGCAGGCGCCAACTCGCGCGCGCGCGTCGCCTTCTCCATCCACCACCATCCAACCCCCCCACGCGGCCACTCCTCCACGCACACACCTCTCTCTCTCTCTCTCTCTCTCTCTCTCTCTATTCCAATCCAGTCCTGAATCAGTCCACCCCTTTCCTTCGCTCTCTCTCTCTAACTGCAGATTTCCCTCCCCTTTCAACGCGCGCGCGGGTGGTGGGGGGAGGCACGGCACGAGGCGGAGGCGGCGGAGGAGGTGGTGGGAATCGATCCCTTTCTGTTCCGGCCGCCTCGATCGCCCGCTACCCGCACGCCGCCTTTTCGTCCCGGTGGATTTCTGCCTCCCTTTTCTCGATTCTTTCCTTTTTCTTCTTCTTCTGCATGCGCGGCGGGCTGTGACGCCGACCATGGGGGACGCCTCGGCATCCACCTCCGCGCCCGCGACGCCCACGTCCACGCTCATCTGCCGGGAGGATGGCAACGACCTCTTCTCCGCCGACCCCGCCGACGACGATGGCGGCGGCGGCAGCGGCGGCGACTGGGAGTTATCCATTGCTGACGACGACCATGTGTTGCTCATGGACCGGGACGATGAGTACCTCGCGCTGATGCTGTCCAAGGAGAGGTGTGCCGGCGGCGGCGGCGGCGGCGAGCGTGGGGATGAGGAGGAGGAGGAGATGGTGGAGGAGTGGATGAAGAACGCGCGCGCCTGGTGTGTCGGCTGGATTGTTAAGGTCGTTTCGCGTCTCCTCCTCTCTTTGTCGCCCCCTTGACCTGAGATTACTCTCCACACGGTTTCGCGGAGATCGGATCTTTGTATTGACTCTTGTTTTCGGAGGGGGGGGGGGGGGGCTTCCTCCTCGCTTTGCTGGTTGCAGACGAACGCGGGATTCCGGTTCAGCTTGAAGACGGCGTATGTCGCGGTGACGTATCTCGATCGGTTCTTGGCGCGCCGGTGTGTCGATGTAATGACGATCCTCCCTGCTTGCCTTGATGCGCCGCCTCACTCTTGTTGTCGTGATGCCGAGTGCGTGTTCGACGTAATGCCTGACTCCGTATTGCCATTTTTTTTGTGTTTGTGTGTGGGGGTGTTTTAGAGGGACAAGGAGTGGGCGCTGCAGCTCCTCTCGGTGGCGTGCCTGTCGCTGGCGGCGAAGGTGGAGGAGCGCCGGCCGCCGCGGCTGCCGGAGTTCAAGCTGGACATGTACGACTGCGCGTCCTTGATGCGGATGGAGCTCCTCGTCCTCACCACGCTCAAGTGGCAGATGATCACCGAGACACCCTTCTCCTACCTGAACTGCTTCACCGCGAAATTCCGGCACGACGAGCGGAAGGCGATCGTCCTGCGCGCCATCGAATGCATCTTCGCCTCGATCAAAGGTCGATCATTCCCCCCCTCTGCTTTCATTTCACCGAATCGGATCGCAAGAATCTCATTTCATTTCCGCAATCTCGTAGTCATTAGCTCGGTGGGGTACCAGCCATCAACGATCGCTCTAGCAGCAATCCTCATCGCTCGGAACAAGGAGACGGCGCCTAATCTAGACGAGCTCAAGTCGGTCGTGGGCTCGTTATGGCAGCAACTAGACACCGTAAGCACTCCCAACTTTCTCTTTTGCGAGATCTCATCCCATTAGGTTTAAGTTCTTGGTAGAAATGACAATGTCGAGAGTAAATTCTGCAACGCTGTTGTTCTCTTGCAGGGGCATGTGTATTCCTGCTACAACAAGATGATGATTCAAGAGGACAGGTCGATGCAATCGACGACGGAGGTAGCTTCCTCGGGTGTCTCTGTTGCCCACATTGGGGGATCGGAGGACAGCGCCATGGGAGGGGCCAATAATGCCACCACCTTGGAGGCAACCCCGGACAAGAAGAGGAAAAGGTTGCACTCGCCTCAGCGCCAGTAGAGGGAGGAGCTGGAGGCTGGAGCTGGACAGCATGTTGGTTGGAGTCCAGCTCTGCAATTTTTAGTTGATCATTTTCACCCTTTTTCTTTTGTTTCAGCTGAGCCCTAGTCAGTGCTCTTGCAAGTTCAGGGGGGGTTGGCCAAATGGAGGGGCCAACATTTGATTCTTCTTCTGATTATGCAATTGTTACAGTTGATTGATTAGTTAGCAATGGAAAGATTCTGGTTTTGTGGAGATCTTTCCCTGGCCCAGAAAGGTACTAGTGTAAAGAGCAGAGGAAAAGGCCTGAAAACTGATAAAGAGCTCTTGCTCAAAGTAGGGAGGAAGTCCTCACTGAGATGTGGAGACAGAGAGAGGGAATCCCAATTCCCAAGTATTGAGTAGAAGTCATTTTTTGTGGATACTGTATGGTTATCTGTTACTCTCTGTTGAGTCATGCCATTTTGGTTCATTAGCAATTTCCTGATGCTAAAGCCAAACAGTGGTAGTACATTTTTGTTGCAAGAACTGATTGATAGTAGTTGGATAGCCAGGGGGCAGGGGCCATCTCTCTCACTGTACTTCACTCTACTCTCTCGTGTCTCGTGTGCAATTGCTGACCATGAGTGGTTGGGAATTGTTTATTGATATCTGTGGGACGAAAGGAAGAAATGCGTTTGCTCGGTGCCTTTCTGATGTTGCCTTTGTGCCGTGTCATCAAATCACCCTGCCTTGCTATTTCTCAGCAATGGCTTTGCTGTTCTTTGCCTTCTTGGAGGTGACTGCCACTGTTGGTTTGTCTCTCTCGCATGAAAGCAGCTGTAACGCTGCCTTCTTTAGCTCTCTCTGAATTGTGCATCATGCAATGCAAATCACTACTCCAGTAGTAGTACACTCCACTAGGACACGTGGAACAGGCCAAAAGAAAGACTCTTCTTCACTCTTCAGCTTCCTCTCACCAGCTGCCGAGGTTCTGATGAATTGCTCATCTTGGGGAGCATGTGAGTGGATCTGCTTCTTTCCCCTTTCCCTCCAATTTTTTAACTGCCTCCAAGAAGACAGTGCGTGTAGTGTAGCACTGTGAAAACCTCTGATGAAAGTGGAGTACAAGAGCTGCTGTGTTTTGTGTGGTCTGGATCTTTGAAGTTTTTGACCAAGGGGGTGTTTGGGAACTAGGGACTAAATTTAGTCCCTCTCAAAAAAACATAAGTCCCTCAAACATAAGTCCCTACCACAGGGAGGGACTTATGTTTTTTTAGAGGGACTAAAGTTTAGCCCCAATTTAGTCCCTCCAACTAAACACCACGCAAAGAAACAACTCCCCATGAATGATCTGAATCTGATTCAGATGGCTGTGGATGACCAACCCTTGCACTGGATTCCTCTAGCCCCTGGTGACTCGTCGTGGGCGGTAGCAACTGGCATTGCGGTCAAAACCCAAAAGCGCTGCACAAGCATGACATGAGAAAGAGAGAGACATGGTAAAATTTTTTTTTTCATGTACTGATCTGTTGTGTTGGGCTGTCTTGTGCCTGGCAGCAAGGTAAAAAAATGGGTTCACCGCGGTTCACAGGGGCATGGCTACTGGTGGCCGACGCTGTTGGAATTTTATAGTGGGCAGTAACATGCCCAGTCACTGGCTTGACTGGTCAGCAGCATTTTGTATTGGCACTGGTGAAGTGGTGCAGTAGTGATGGAAGCACAAGCTGCCTGTTGATTGTGTGTGTCAATTGCATGCGATGTGTGAAGAGAGAAAAGCCTGGGATGCCAAAAGGAAGGTAACTGACAGCCTGCCAGGCCCATGCAACCAGTACATATTATCTGCTGATGCTGGCATTTGGATTGCAACTGAGATTCGTGGTCAAAGTTAAATGTGACGTTATATCTTGGATCTTGGAAGGTAGCGGAGGCATTTCACAAATCCTACTACAGCTAACCATGCTGAAAATTGCCTGACTGTAATACGGAGTATGTCGAATGAATGAGAACATGGCAGATCATGACACAACCAAAGATAGCATCTGCAGACATGCAGTCCAGTAAAGCACGTTTTAGTGACAACCAGAGTGTAGTTTCCAGTACAATGAGTAAAGAACAAAGATTGTAGTTTCCAGTACAATGAAATCGATTGATTTTATTGCAAGTAACTTTGCTACAGTCCCAGATTGGCCACAAAAAAACAGTAGGATGGCAACAAGGGAAGAAACTTACACGAGTCAATTCATACACCCTGTCAAGGACTCAAGGGTGTAGAATCAAACAAATGTCAAACTTATCAAGCGATCCATATACAATTGCAAGTTCCAACATTCCAAGGAAAGAACATGAGGAAAATGACATGAAGGAAAGATCTACACGAGTCCATTAAACACCATACAATCTTGGATCATACTCTGCAAGAAAAAAAGGGGGGGGGGGGGGGGGGGCAGAGGTTCACATCTAAACAAGCGCATAAAGAGAACTTTGTTATGCCCATGGTACTGCCTCTAATCCCTACCGACTTCAGTCCCGTGTCTTGAATTAGTTCTGCTTTCCTACTTAGAAATCAACTGGGATCAGCTTGACCGCAGCAGCGATCGGCATCCCTATGAAACCGATGAAAATGCAGTTGAACCACTGCTTCAATGTGAGAGGAGTCGTGTTGGCGAAATCACCCAGGAACTGTACTATTATGAACTGGAAGATGACTGTGCTGCCGAGGACGGCGACGAACACGTTGTTGTCTAGAATGCCTTCAAATACATTTATCCTCTCCATCTCCCTTGAGCTCACCTCATTGAACACCTGCACAACAATGAAAATTTTAATGAAACTGCACACTAATATTGGCAAAATATAGTCTGAAATTTTTCATTCATCATTTTACAGCTGAAGTACTACATTCATGTGAGTATTGATCCTTGGAAAACATATTTGCCAACATATTATTCAAGAGCTAAGGTCTATTTTTGCAAAAATGTATGCAAGAGAATTATTTTAGACACTAAATAGATGTGACAAGCACTTTCAAATTACCTGGCAGAACACAAAGCAATTGAAGATGAGTGTGTTCAAGACTAGATCGGAATTTTCTCCCTTTAGTCCAAATAGCCACTTCCCTTCTGTCTGCAGATACCATATTACAATGAATTGGTAGAAGGCCTGTCCCAGGATGTTTCTCCACATAATGTTGCTGATGAAGTTCCCTTTCCTTCCAACAGGAGTTCTCTTCATCAGTTCATCGTTTGGAGGTTCAGTTGCCAATGCCAGTGCTCCTAGTGTGTCCATGATCATGTTAACCCAGAGCAGTTGGACAGCAGTAAGAGGAGCACTCCCTGAATGCCAAGCAGAAGTACAAAGAACAGTCAAGAGTAAGTTATGAAACAAACTAGGAAATTCTTGATTTTCCACATTAATAAATTTTATGTTAGTTTATTTTTTTAAGTTTTAGCACATCTCTTCTGCCACTCATTTGAAATCTAACGAAAAATTTCTGCTGCACTAACACTAAACAGTATTTGAACTTAGAAACAGTAGGCAGCAGACTAGGAACAGTGGTGAAGGAGAAGTATAAAAGATGAACATGTATCAGCAGTGCAGTTATTACAAGAAACCAACATCAAAGGTTATTTTAATCGGAACGAAACTATCAATTCTATACAGTAGAATGAGGTAAAAAACATCAACATTTAGCTGTACCTGTCAAGCAAGCTGAGGAGAAGTTCACTATCAGAGCGACCACATTGACTGTCAGCTGAAACTGCACAAACTTCTGAATATTAATGTACACTGACCGACCCCATTTAGCAACAGTGACTATAGTGGAGAAGTTGTCGTCAAGAATAATCACGTCAGCACTTTCTTTTGCCACCTGCAAACAGATAGCACAGTGAGAAATTTTGGGAGTGAAAAAGTGCATAGAACTATGAGGGCATGAAATGGATGGTAGTACAACTCAAGACAACTAAATTAGCGGCTAAATTGCCACAAAAATACACTTCTAAAAAAATCGAAGTGATGCAATTCATTAATTATATTGTTCATGCAAGGGGAACACTATCAACTATCTTTGAGGAAAATCACCTCAGTTCCAGCAATGCCCATTGCAAGTCCAATATCAGCTTCATGAAGAGCAGGAGCATCATTTGTGCCATCACCAGTAACCGCAACAACTTCATCAAAAGTGGTCCGGAGATGCTTCACCAAGGTGTGCTTGTCAAGTGGTGAAGATCTAGCCATCACCTGATACATGAAACCAGAACACATCAGCAAATGAAATCCAGAAAATTCAGTTAAACTGACCAGCAAAAGCAACGAAAACTTTACTTGTATTTTTGGTATCAACTCATTCAGTTCCTCTGCACTCTTGGTTCTGAAATCCGGTCCTTCAATGGCAATGCCACCTTCAGTCAAAATGCCGCATTCCCGCGCAATCGCCTTCGCTGTATTGATGTTGTCACCTGTGACCATCCTCACCATGATCCCTGCCGACCTGCAGATGGCAACCGATTCCTTCACACCAGGACGAACTGGATCTTTGATCCCCACAATGCCAATGCAGGTGTAGCCATCTTCAGGAATCTGGTCATTCGCCGAGAACCCGTCACCGACATCGACGTAGGCAAGGCACAAGGTACGGAGCGCCTCGTTTGCAAAGCTGTTGATCGTGGCGTTCAGGTGAGCAACGGTTGCATCGTCGAGTGGCACGACGTTGCCTTGATCATTCAGGTACTTGCTGCAAGATGCCAAGATGATCTCTGACGCGCCCTTGCTGTGTGCACGCATTGCTCCTCCGGGGAGCTGGATGACCACTCCCATTCTCTTCTTGGCCGAGTTGAATGGCTCCACCTTGACGAGGGTGCTCGCCTTGCGCACGGCCAGGAAGTCGCCGCCGAGTGAGAGGCCGAACTCGAGGATGGCCGTCTCGGTTGGTGTGCCAAGTATCTCGCGACTCCCGCTCTTGTTGAAGACGACGTCGCCGCCGGTGTTGTTGAAGATGGACTGCGAGAGCAGCGTCATGGCGGACTCCGGCAGCTCGGAGAACAAGCTCTTGGTGTCCGAGGCGCTCTCCACGTCTTTGATCTTGCCGCAGATGCAGGCCTTGACGACGGTCATGTGGTTGGTCGTGAGCGTGCCGGTCTTGTCGCTGCAGATGGTGGTCGCCGAGCCCATGGTCTCGCAGGCGGCGAGGTGCCGGACGAGCGCCTTGTCGTTCATCATCTTCTTCATGGCGAACGCGAGGCTGAGCGTCACGGCGAGCGGGAGGCCTTCGGGGACGGCCACGACGACGATGGTGACGGCGATGGCGAAGAACTCGAGCAGCTCCATCGCGTCGTCTCCGGTCCAGCTCAGGTACGAGGCGTCCATGATCTTGCGCCGGAAGAGGCCCTCGGTGAGCACGGCGAACGTGACGACTGCGAAGATGAGGCCGATCTTGCCGATGATGGTGGCGACGCCGTTGAGCTTCACCTGCAACGGCGTCTCATCGTCGCCGCCCTCGCTCAGCGTGGCCATCAGCTTACCCCACTGCGTCCTCATCCCGACCGTCGTGACGAGCATCTTGCAAGAACCATCCTGCACCTTGGTCCCCGACAGGAGGAACGGGTTCTCGG